CGAAATTCACAATCTCGACATTTTCTTTTTAAATCGAACGACATTTTTAGAACAATTAGGTCATGAGCTTTTTGTAGATGAAAAAATCGAATCAATGGGACGTCGGACAAACAAGTTGTGCCGGATCCAATTTTGGCCAAATATGGGTTAAAAAGAATACTTGAATATAATATTTCAAGATCCAATTTTAGGGATGATCTATGTTAATATTATAATTTGTCATATCATCTCTACATGTAGATTCAGTGATTTCTTGCATGTCGGCAATCCTTAACTAGTAGTGTACTCTGAAATATAGCAGCCTGTCGACCGTGTCTCTGTGTGATCTTTGAAGTGCATAGCCTTAAGTAACAATAGTCACGCTGCCCATTCTTTAACAACCTAGCCAAAGTTAGTCAACTTTGCATTGTTTTCCTATATACATAGAAGGTATCTATTAATTGGGATATTTATGCTAATATCAATAACCACTCGTGCTGAACTTGAATTTGTGTCTTGAGTAAACTACCTAATCAAGAAGTATATTTTCGGGTTTTAAATCGACTATGATGAACTGTTTTTCATGCACCTTGATTACAGCCGATGCAATTTGTTTACAAATTTTCACTATCTGTCCAACTCAAATCTGTTATAATGGCCAAAATGCATATAAGTAAAATTATATATATGTGTAATTTTAGAATGATAAAGCCGGAAATTATATATCGGCTAATATCAAAACCTCCAGCTTCAATTTTTGGAACACCTAGGTCCTAGGAATCAACTTCTCAAATTTTGAATGACAAAGCTTCACCTGTGCACAATAACGTGAATCCATTACTAAGGGCCTTTTAACTATAAGGTCCCAAAACCTAAAGAAGATTATGTAAGTATTGTCATTAATGCAAGTAATTTTAGCACGATAAAAGTTCATGATAGCCAAACGTAGGGTTACAGCTGAAGGACTGCCAATAACCACATTTACTTTAACCATATGGGATGAGCAATACTAGAAATGCGATAAACGCCAAATTATTTGAGGAAAGGTGCTGAGGATTTCCACTGTCTTTCTCTAAGTTCAACAATGAAACGAGACACATAGATAAATAATAGGAGATAATGCACTGAACACATAGAGCCCCTCCCTTCAAATTCCGAAAATCAAAACCTACAGCTTCAATTTTTGGAACACCTACGTCCTTGGAATCAACTTCTCATAACAGAGCAACAATTTCCCATCATATTTATTGGCAGTTCTTCAATTGCTTCAAATTTTGAATGACAAAGCTTTACTTGTGCACAATAACATAAATCCATCACTAAGGGCCTTTTAACTATTAGATCCCAAAACGTAAAAAAGATTTTGTAAGTATTTTAGCACGATAAAAGTCCAGATGATACTCAAACATAGGGTTACAGCTGAAGGACTGCCAATAACCACATTTACTTTAACCATATGGGGTAAGCAATACTAGAAATGCGATAAACGCCAACATTATAGGAGGAAAGGACCTGAGGATTTCCACTGTCTTTTTCCAAGTTAAACAATGAAATGAGACACAGAGATAAATAATAGGAGAAGATGCACTTAACACATAGAGCCCTTCCCTTTAAGTTCGGGAAATCAAAACCTCCTGCTTCAATTTTTGGAACACCAAGGTCGGAATCAACTTTTCATGACAGAGCAACAATTTCCCATCAGATTTATTGGCAGTCCTTTAATTGCTTGAAATTTTGAATGACAGAGCTTCACCTGTGCACAATAACATAAATCCATTACTACGGGCCTTTTAACAATTAGGACCCGAAACCTGAAGATTCTGCAAGTATTGTCATTAATGCAAGTAATTTTAGCACGATAAAAGTTCAGATGATACTCAAATGTAGGGTTACAACTGAAGGACTGCCAATAACCACATTTACTTTAAGCATATGGGATGAGCAATACTAGAAATGCGATAAACACCAAATTATTTGAGGATAGGTTCCGAGGATTTCCACTGTCTTTCTTCAAGTTCAACAATGAAACGAGACACAGAGATAAATAATAGGAGATAATGCACTGAACACATAGAGTCCCTCCCTTCAAATTCCGGAATCAAAACCTACAACTTCAATTTTTGGAACACCTACGTCCTTGGAATCAACTTCTCACAACAGAGCAATAATTTCCCATCATATTTATTGACAGTCCTTCAATTGCTTCAAATTTTGAATGACAAAGCTTTACTTGTGCACAATAACATAAATCCATCACTAAGTGCCTTTTATCTATTAGATCCCAAAACGTACAAAAGATTTTGTAAGTATTTTAGCACGATAAAAGTCCAGATGATACTCAAACATAGGGTTACAGCTGAAGGACTGTCAATAACCACATTTACTTTAACCATATGGGATGAGCAATACTAGAAATGCGATAAACGCCAACATTATAAGAGGAAAGGAGCTGAGAATTTCCACTGTCTTTCTCCAAGTTCAACAATGAAATGAGACACAGAGATAAATAATAGGAGAAGATGCACTTAACACATAGAGCCCTTCCCTTTAAGTTCGGGAAATCAAAACCTCCGGCTTCAATTTTTGGAACACCAAGGTCGGAATCAACTTCTCATGACAGAGCAACAATTTCCCATCAGATTTATTGGCAGTCCTTCAATTGCTTGAAATTTTGAATGACAGAGCTTCACCTGTGCAAAATAACATAAATCCATTACTACGGGCCTTTTAACAATTAGGTCCCAAAACTTGAAGATTTTGCAAGTATTGTCATTAATGCAAGTAATTTTAGCACGATAAAAGTTCAGATGATACTCGAACGTAGAGTTACAGCAGAAGGATTGCCAATAACCACATTTACTTTAACCATATGGGATGAGCAATACTAGAAATGCGATAAACACCAAATTATTTGAGGAAAGGTTATGAGGATTTCCACTGTCTTTCTCCAAGTTCAACAATAAAATGAGACACAGAGATATAAACACCAAATTATTTGAGGAAAGGTTCTGAGGATTTCCACTGTCTTTCTCCAAGTTCAACAATAAAATGAGACACAGAGATAAATAATAGGAGATAATGCACTGAACACATAGAGCCCCTCCCTTCAAATTCCGGAAATCAAAACCTAGAGCTTCAATTTTTGGAACACCTACGTCCTTGGAATCAACTTCTCATAACAGAGCAACAATTTCCCATCATATTTATTGGCAGTCCTTCAATTGCTTCAAATTTTGAATGACAAAGCTTTACCTGTGCACAATAACATAAATCCATCACTAAGTGCCTTTTAACTATTATATCCCAAAACGTAAAAAAGATTTTGTAAGTATTTTAGCACGATAAAAGTCCAGATGATACTCAAACATAGGGTTACAGCTGAAGGACTGCCAATAACCACATTTACTTTAACCATGTGGGATGAACAATACTAGAAATGCGATAATCGCCGAGGAAAAGAGCTGAGGATTTGCATTGTCTTTCTCCAAGTTCAACAATGAAATGAGACATAGAGATAAATAATGGGAGAAGATGCACTTCACACATAGTGCCCCTCCCTTTAAGTTCGGGAAATCAAAACCTCTGGCTTCAATTTTTGGAACACCTAGGTACTTGGAATCAACTTCTCATAATAGAAAAAAAATTTCCCTTCAGATTTATTAGCTTGCATTCTCCACTCAATTTGTTTCCAATTAGGATTAGTACTTGCCTCACTCGATTCCATGAGTTTTATTCAACAAAAAGAAATATTAGCTTTGATGAGCTAAGACCGTAACATTTTTTTGACTCTCCATATTAAGTATTTTCTTGAAACTTTCTATTGTGTTTTCTCAATATTAAGTTAATATAGTTGATTACAAATAATATTTATTGTATTATATAACAACGATAATAAAAAAAATTCTAATTGTTGTTGAGTTTCTATATTAAGAATTCGACCTTTATTTTGTTTTAAAAAGCATTCATATGAAATAAGCTAGAATTTAATGAATTGTTTATATTAACATACACATTCCAATTTTATAATGGGTATAATGGGTATTGAAAAAAAAAAAACTTTTCTTCTATGCCACCTTAAGTTTTTTATAATGGGTAAATATCAAATGTAAAGTCGACGTTAAGGAAATCGATATATGGTTCTAACTTATTGCTGCTAATACATGTTGTTTTGTAAACACATGCTTCTAATGTAATATGGGGATTATTCTTTTCTAGATTTAGAATCAACATTATCTCTCTACATAATTTGACGATGTTTGCAATAAAACTTTGCCATGATGGTAAAAATATGGGGTTGTAGTTTAATGCAACCAACAAAGCATATGATTGTAAATATATTTTTGAAAATTTATCACTCACGATATAATTATTCTTCTATGATTTTCCAAATATTGAGTAGTTTTCCCACTGCCATTATCATTATTACTCGTTCATGCATGTGAATCTTTAGGGAAACTTAATTGAATTTTGTGAATTTGTAGGAACGCACATGATCGTTTAAAAAATATAAAAGGTCTTCAAATAATTAAATCTAGTAAAAATATACACAAACAACATTATGGAACATGCGAAGTTTAATGGAGTTAAATTGGAGATCTACTTGGGCTGATGGTGGTCCTACCCTGTGTAGATTCCAAAACCAAAAAGTTTACTGCAATTAAATTATTTTCTTCTAATTATTAAACATCAAATTGCTACCAACAACCTAAATCAAATAGTTTCTGAATATCGAGCGTTTATATTAAGCAACATACTAATTTTATAAATGACGATCGTCTATGAAATTTCATGACAAGTTCATGACACTCGGTATATGAGAATGTACAACTTATAACATACTTCATATAGGAATTCACCCCGCCACACATTAATGGCATTTTTCAAGAGCTAAGTCAAATTCGATAAAGCGCTGTCACGTTGATGTTTCATACAAAAAGGCAAATTTATTTTCATGATAAACAAATTTATTATGTCTGTTCGACGACTGAAAGAGCGAGCGACATGGGGACAGGCGAGATGACTTGAACGGACAGGATGTGCCATGTAGATTTCCCTAACATCTCTCTCGCAGAGATCTGTGTATCAATCATCATCACTTTCAAGTCCAACTGTCCAAGAGCTGAAGCAGCTCGGTGCAGACATGCAGTGGCAGTTCTAGTTTCATCTGCGCAATCGAATCAAACCGGACCGACCACCATGTCTCTATCTTTCAGGCTCACTCCTACTTTCTCACCTCCGCCACCATCTCGTCTCAGATTCACCCTCCTCTCTCGATCCAACCTCAACCCATCATCAATCCGCTCGCCCTCTCCCTCAAAGTTCACACATTTATCCCCAATCCGATGCGTGAACGGAGGCTCCGACCACGTGTCGGAGATCCGAGCGAGACCCAGATGGGAAAACGCGCTCTCTGCTGCGGCGAGCCTGTACCCTCTTTACGTGAGCGTCGGAGGGGTCGTGGCTTGCCTCAAGCCCTCTGCTTTTCAGTGGTTTGTGCAGGGAGGTCCGAACTCGTATAGCTTGTCGCTTGGGCTGATTATGTTGGCCATGGGTCTCACTCTCGAGCTCAAGGACTTGTTCTCTCTCTTCCTGCGGAGACCTCTCGCGGTAATCTTATTTTCCTCGGAAATTCTGTTCCTTCTAGTCAGTCACTCGCCGAGATTTGAGGGTGACAGAGACAGAGAATTTGGTCAATGCTGATGATTTACTTCTTGGATCCCCTTTACAGTGGATTCTTTTAAATTTAATATCGAGGAGTAAAAGTCTGGGTATTGGTTGCGTTGTGTCGTTCTTGAGAAATCTGTGGGTTCCGGCCGTGTTCTCGTCTCCATAAGGTTTGACGGTTCTCCAATATGGAAGAGCTAGCACCGTAACAATTTAAAAGTAGGCCTAGTTCTATGTCATGGAGTCCTGGACTTAATGGCATTGAGTCGGGTTTTTGGGGTCTAGTTCTACTTCATGGTATGTCTATCTTAAGGTTTCGCTAATGAGAGTGCACAGGCTCCTATATGCCAACAATTACGCGACATCAAAAACTATATTGATACAATAGCGATACTGCAATATTCCTCTAATGCTGTGACACAAGCATTCATCACAGAAAAAAATTGGGATGTAGTATGGTCTCTTTTTCCCGCAGCATTCTTACAATGAACTGAATATTAAGTCATGATCTCCCTTTAGCGCAATCGAGAAGCTATGTCCGATATATGCCGCATTCATCTGCATTGTTGTTTCTTTTACTATCTTTTCTAAGTACAATCTTGCCAATGCTTTATCAATCAGATACTCTTTGGATGTGTGGCTCAATATACTATTATGCCAGCTCTCGGGACCTTAATAGGTAGATTACTGGGGCTTCCACCTTCTCTTTCGGTGGGTTTGATATTGCTTGCTTGTTGCCCTGGGGGTACTGCTTCCAATGTGGTAAGACTTCTTTTTTCCCGCACCATTATATCAGGAACCTAGAGGCAAATAGTGACTGGTGATTTTTTTTTACAAAAAAAAGGTAGTTTTCCCTATTTTATCCATTGGCTAAAATAAGTTTTGTCCAATTACTCCTGTAGTTATAGTATGGCTTGTTGTGCTGTCTAAAAGCTTCTTCAAAATATAGACTTAGTCTCCAGTTGATTGTATTCGGGGCTGGAGAATGTACTCTATCAGTCACAACTCACTTTAAAGCACTTACTAATACAGCATAGGGTCAAGTTTGTCAAGTAATCAAGCCTGATGTATGCTTGTTCTTTTGTGGCTATATTGTCAGTTATCTGGTATATATTATGAGTCTTAATGAGGGAACTGAGGGATGTGGACTTATGAGGATCTGCTGGCTGGTCAGAGTCATCTGACCCTGCCACGTGTCGCTGAAGGTGTTGAATGTATAAGGAGCCGATACTGGAGTTGATATGGTTCAAATCCATGTGAGCTGAATATAGTGTCCAATGATAGTATTTGTGAAGTAGACAACGCTGTATTATTTGGTTGAGTTTTCACAGTCCATGCAGTCAGCAAGCATGTTATAACTCCGAGTGAGAATGCCTCATTTCAGTGATATCTCTACACAATTCCATTTTCTGAAGTAGCATTTCAGGTTACTTTAATTGCTCAGGGGGATGTTCCTCTATCTATCGTGATGACAGTTTGCACCACTCTTGGAGCAGTACTTCTGACTCCTCTGCTGACGAAGATATTGGCCGGAACTTATGTTCCTGTTGATGCCATTAAACTTTCCATCAGCACCTTGCAGGTAAATATGATCTTAAGTCAGCTTGTGAGGACACCACCGACAAGTTTGGTACAGATGGTTAAATTTTTTGTCGTATATTTCCGTATGTAGGTGGTAGTTGCTCCAATTCTCTTAGGATCTTACTTTCAAAGTGCATTTCCTGGAGTGGTGAAGGTTGTGACTCCTTTTGCACCACTTTTTGCAGTTTTGGCATGTTCTCTACTAGCATGCAGGTACAGTTCTTCCGTGTTGTGTGACTTGGAGTCATTGCACTTACATTGCATCTCTCTCATGTCTATTTTATATCTGGTGGCTCTAGTGTATTCTCGGAAAATGTGGTCCGACTCAAGTCTTCATTGCTTGGTGCTTCATCAGGCCGTGATCTCTCCATGTTTGCTCATGTTCAGGCAATAGTATCTGGTGAACTAGGGTTGGTAATACTTTCTGTGCTACTACTGCATTCTGCTGGTTTTTTTGTGGGGTAAGTATTGACCTCCGCGCGTCTTTCGCATTGTATTTAAATAATATCTTGTTTACATATCCGGTGAACGTATTGCTTGTAATATTTCACTCTTTGGCACAATAATGTGGTCTCATGATCTTCTCTTTTGTTTCTTTTTCCTTTAGTGCATGTGCAAGTATGTGAGTGTGTGCTTTTTTTTTTTTGGGGGGGTGGGTGGGTGGGGTGTTGGGGTTGGGGGAAGCTAGTACGGGCTGCCTTTACCTTGATGACTGCCATCATATTATTTTTTTTTCCTCTAATCTCTTTAACTGATTAGGTCTAGGTTGCTTGTTATTCTTAGCTTTCCTGACTTAGGTTTTCCTTAGCCTGGGCCACTGAGTGTATTCTTTTGAGCATTTCCTGTTCAATCATCCTTTCTAGTTTCCCTCCTTTTCAAGAGTTCAAGTAATAATTTCTGACAGCACTTTGAACTCATTGTCTCACCTCATTACATACTGTTCACAGTTGGTAAGCTTCTCATTTTAGAAGAAGATACTTGCCTTTATGGCTGTATATCCCTAGAAGAGTGGTTGGAACTTCCTTGGCTGTCTCATTCATTTGAGTTTCTGTTCATATCCTCAGATTCTGTCACCCTAGTCAAGCAGTAAATTAAATAAAGAAGACGATCTTAGGAAGAGAACCAAGAAACTATACTGAGGCATGCATGTGTGGCTGGTTTATGCATGTAATTATGGAGGTTTTTCCTGTAATGTACCAGATCATGTATGAGAGTGCAATCTACTACTGAACAAAAGACCTTGTCATTAATTTCGAGATAGTAGGAGATCATGCAATGGTTCGAAATAAAATCTAAGAAGATTTATGTCTCTCTGCACACGTGCATGTGTGATGATCCCCCTTATTTTAGCTCCTGATTCACTTTTTCAAGACTAAGGGAATCACTTGACAGGTTTGATCTGCTGGCATATTCAGCAGAATACTACTATAGCAAGTTCTACTCTTAAACTGTTGGTTATGCGTAACAATGTCTGAATCTAATATGTATACTTCATTACATTATCTGCAGGTACATATTGTCAGCAATTTGCGGGTTCAAAGAACCACAAAGGCGAGCGATATCTATTGAGGTAACTTCTCATTGATGTTCAGTGAATTTGGCATTGCCCAAAGCTCTCTGACAACTCTATATAGAGAAACTTAGTAGCCTTACTTCAACTCTGTTTGTGTGCATGTGTGTGGGCACCGTCGAATTCTTGAGAGGTTGAGATTTTCAGTTCTGTTGATTGCTTGAAATAATTTGCACACATAAAATTTTTAAATGACTCGATGTTCCTATATCATTTAGCATGGCTGCCATTTTCCTTATTATAACATTTGTCTCCTACACTGGACTGCAGGTGGGTATGCAGAACTCTTCATTGGGCGTGGTTTTAGCAACCTCCCATTTCACCTCACCTTTGGTTGCGCTACCTCCGGCCATGTCTGCGGTTATCATGAATATCATGGGAAGCAGTTTAGGCTTCATCTGGAGATATATTGATCCATCTGATCAGACAACTACTCCTCAAATAATTGACTAACTCAAAGTTGGTGCAAAAAAAGAAGAAGAAGGAGATATGCATTATTGGTTATATGACGACCCATAGGTCCACAAATTATTCGTATACTGATTCTTGCTTACATCGGACCGAATGACTTTCATCAACAAGTTTATGTGCAAGTTTCAGGATGTAATCTCTTCCGAAGTGGAAATGGAAGTTAGATGAACGATGTAGAATTGGTTCTTTGTGAGTGTGAGTATGGCTAATTATTTCTCCTGTTTTTGGATAGTTTTCTTATTTTGAGGGTTGCCATGTCACAATGGTAATGGAGGAAACCTAGGGAGAAGGCTTTGCAATGGACGACACCGAATGTCCTGTGGGTTGTCTTGTCCGCTCCTCTCTCAAAACCCAACTGCTGCCTAGAGATTGCTATCCACTAACAGACAAGACCTCCTTGTTGCCAATCTTGTATTATGCAACATGACATGAGATTAAATGTGGTGTTTGTCTTTTCCATTTTTATTGTTAATGTTTGACTTCACGTGAGGACTTAGAAAAGAAAAAAAAAATTAGGTGGAGCAGCTGGCCTGGATGGTGACATACAATTTCCACAGCAGTAATTATCGCAAGAATGTGCCACAGAAAATGTCAAATAAGATGTTTGCTATTTGCAGCTGGTGGGTGCACCATGTTTCTCTGATTTTAATGGCTGAATTCAGGGCTTGAGATTTTGATAAGAAGGTGCAAAGTTCGTGCGATCGTAGTAAAACATACCTTCATGTGACTCATGAAATTGCTCGGCTCAGTTGTTTTTGCATGGAATGCCTTGAAAGTAAGGTTATAAATGTGGAATTCTATAAATGCATGTGGTACATATGATTTTGATGTCTTTGGTATGAAGCTAGTAATATAAATTCTTTTTGTTTGTTATCTTTTTTTAAGAGGGAGCAAAAAAAAATCACAAAAATGACGAACATATATTGATTTGCCAATCATCTCCATCTCCCCACCAATGATTGATCTTTGTTTACTTATCTTTTTAAAATATGATTCGCGTCGAATCCATCGAAAAGCCTGCTAACCCTCAAATTTCATATTACGTCAATTCATGACTGACTTGGGGGGCGTCAATGCCCATATACCTGTGAATTAATGTGATACCAATGCAAAGAATAATCCTTAATTGGAGAGCCAAACCATGGAACTCCATTTTTCGTTGACATCTTAACAATCAAAAAGAAAGAAAAAAAATGCAGCCCCAGTCGACCCTTCCCGGAACCGAGGAATTCATGAAGATTGATTCTCCTGATACTGTGCTCCAGAGAAGCAGCAACTTGCCACTAGAGAAGCCAAACTCAGATGAGGATGGATGGGACCATGATGATATAAAGACTGAACTGAAGTTGACCAATGGAGCTTCTCATGGCGATTATCTGTTCAGGACGTCCATGGCCACCAAAGCTCCAACCAGGAACATCACTACGGCGAAAACAGATGTGGGAGGACCAGGGAGCAGCAGGCAGCCTTTGCTGCCGCCACAGTTTGGATGCTATGGACCTTGGCTCGCTACTTGTCTTGAGCGAGGGATGTTTCCCCAAATGAGGTAACTCGAACCCTGTTGAAATTTCAAACCTTCAATTCCACAAGTTGGGCTGCCTGGAAATGACGGATACCTAAGATGGTGATGTTCAGGAATACACAGTTCTCAGACTGCAAGTCGGAAAAATCGCAGCTCACCATATTCTATGCCGGCACTGTCAATGTCTACAACAATGTCCCTGTTGATAAGGTGCATACTCAGGCATACATTAGGTTTCTTCTTGGTTATTTTTTATCTTGCAAAACATGTACAGGAGTTTTCATGTCCCCCCATCGCGTTATTCTGATTTTTGCCAAGGCATGCATGATTTCCATTGTGTTTGAAGTGGCTAATTTAGATGGCAAAAAGCAGGCCCAGGCGATTATGCTTCTAGCTGGTGAAAGCTCTTTGACGAAGCCTGTGGTGGCAAAATCTGGAGATATAATCAAGACGATTCCACCTCAGCCACGGCAGATCAGTTTGCCTTCCATCTGCAAGCCGCAGGGTGGTAAGAGTGTTCTCTCTTAACAGTGTATTCGTATTTTCGCATGCATGTCCCCAAAATGATCTGGACTTACCTTTCTCTTTTCTCCACTAGACATTCCAATGGCAAGAAAGAATTCACTTTGCCTCTTTCTTCAAAAGCGTCATGATCGGTACCGGTCTTTCCATTTGCCTTTCTTTCTCAGAATCCCTCCTCAAACATTTTTGTAAAAGAGATGGCTGATGTTTCTTGCTCTTTGATGGGAACATGATTGGCAGGATCACAAACAAAAGCCCCTATTGTTCATCTGGTAGGAAACACCGAGAAGTGGAGCCAAGAGAAGAAGAGGGCTCGCGTAACACCGGGAACGATCGCCATTGCTCTCCTCTGTCGCCCTTCCCTTCGCGATTGGGATTCCTCTGTTCTGTATCAACTACCAAGAAATGACATCAAGTACAACCGCCATCTTTCTCCTAGTCACAATAACTATGCTAATTACATCTATCCACCCAATAATCCTCACAGACACTTCTTGTTTGTTCTAACAAGAAGTAAATGCACCACTATGGACGTAGTATAGATAAATGAGCACTGTTTCCATCTTTCAAATCCTGGATACTTTGAAGTACTTTCTGATTTCGAGTTGCTGTAATTTCTCATCGATCCATTTTTCTGCTGAGCAGATGCAAGGTTGTGCGTATACTTAGCAATCTATATCATCTTGCAGAGCGTGAGGGTAGATTCTTATTCTATAGCTCTAAAAACCGAGGGAGCAAAATTATGCGGTATATGAATCCTGAAACAAAATCTTGCCATTCAATATATATGCTTAATTGTGACATCAATGCAGATCAAATTTGCTTTGGTGGAGACTACCTTCACTTTTTATTTTTATTTTTATAATTAAGTGATAAACTAATAGACATGGAGGTAAAAAACACTTAGTGAAAGCAGGTCTTAACAGGGTTTATAGTATGGCCCAAGAAAAGGTCAATTAGGACAATAGGTCTTATCGTATTTTCGTCCCATATCAGATGAACATATATTTGGCGTAAGCAATTGATTGTACGTGCTTTTTTATTTATTTATGGTTATGACTTGAATTTATTCCCGATTAAATTTGAAATTTGACCCATAATTGAATTGCAATGAAACTGAAGCCATATTAGAGAAGTCTAAATTGCACTTTTGCCTACAGGATTGTGAGTGATGCAAAAAGGAAAATTAATTTTTTACGAGACTCTTTTCCTTTTCGAAAATGAAGTCCCTATCGACATTGGAGAAGGACTCGTAGCTTTTTTTGCAAATAAATATCCTTTGGTTGAGTTTGGTCTTGTGTGCTTAATATGTGTAAAATTTGCGAAAAACATAAAGAGAATTGAGGGCTTTTATCTCGGGAGTTTGAAAAAAATCCTTTCTTGTGAATGATTATGGTGGGCTTGAATTAAATTTAGGAAGAAGAAATATTTATAAGTAAGTGGAATCTCATATTTGTCGATTATAGTGGAACTATCTAAATCTGTTGAGCTCATATCATATTTTTCCAATTTATTTTTTATTTAAACCGTTTCGATTTTTTTTTCACGCATTCACATTAATGGTAACATTTTTGCCATTGTGTTCTCATGATATCTTCCCATGCATGTAATTGCATTTGTAAAAAGAAACAGACTGTTACCCCTTTTGGCTAAGGATGAGGTGGTCGATGAAAAATGGTCAAGTATCACGGAAAAGAATAGTACAAAGTCACGATCAAATCAACCCAATAAAAGCTGAAGAAACGGAATTGAATTGAAAGAAAGGAAAAGGAGCGGGTGGGGGCTTCAGCAGTTACAGTTAACAGTTACAATCGGCACCGTCCGTTCCGACTTCCGACAAACTGCCAGGGGAGGTTCCGCGCCACCTCAACGGCCGAGATTCGCTCCCTCGATTCCCCCTCTACTTTTGTCACGCTTCCCAACGTCCCACCCCCACTGAATCTGTTCGCCACTTCGCTCTTCAGAGCTCTCTCAGCTCCATCATCACCATCTCTCTCTCTTTCTCTCTCTCTAACTTTCTCTCTCATCTTCTCGAACAATCTGCGCTATAATGGATGATGATGGTGGCCTCTGTGATTCGTCTCTCTGCTTTTCTTGATTCGTCTCTCGCAGTCGTCGTCGTCGTCGTCGTCGTCGTCAGATCAAGAAGCTCGGTGATGGATTCGAGTAGTTAAATGATCGATCTTTGCTGCCGAAAATGCGCGACACCCATGAGGCCCCGCCGGTCAAGACCACCCCGTCCTCCGACCCCGGCAAGTTCGAGCGGCCCCCGCTTCTCAAGAAACCCAAAACCCTAGACGATTCCGATTCCGACGCCACCCCGCGCTTCCCCGGGCCCCTCTTCCCCGCCGTCCGCCGCGTCGCCACTGCTCCCCCCGCCTCCCGCCCTCCCTTCTCCAATCTCCGGGTCTCCGTCGTGGACGATCCGTCCCCTCTCGACTCCCCCTTCTCCGATCGCGACTGGGTCTACCCCGCATTCCTCGGGCACCACCCCGCCAAGAGCCGGGTCGCTCACAAAGCTTCGAAGCTGCAGAAGTTTGACCCGCCCGTTTCGACTGCTCGCGGCTACGCGGACGATCCCAATCGCAAGGTTATCGGTGGGAAGCAGCTGATCGGCGCTGCCCCTGTGAAAAAAGTGGAGAAAGACGTCAAGTTGACATCGAGTCAGCTCGGTGTGACCCGGTCTAACTCGGGCAGTGGTTTTCCTTCGAAGAGAATTGGGCTGTTTAAGCGATCTTTGGCACTTTATTTGGTAAGATGTGATTTACTTCATTTGAGGATCACCTTGTTGTTAGGCAAACGATGCATTTGCAGCTCCATTCTTTATTCTTTTACTGGGAAGGTTGAGAAAAAGGGTCAAGATGTGTGATTCACCTGATCTTGCTGTTTGGCATTCTTTGATAAATACTCGAGTTGGGTTCCCTCAACGTTGATTCATTTCATAGGCTTTTACCGCTTATAATGAACTTTGGAAGATCCGTAGGATGGGCTTATCCCTAGAAAAGGGCTGTCCACTAACCAGACCAGAGCAAAGGTTCAAAGCACACTTCCGTCATTGCTGAAACACGTGTTCATTTCCTCCCATCATTGTATCTTACAGTGGAGCTTCATCTCTTCATGTTTACTATCGAGGGCAGTGCAATTGGAAAATGTCAAAGCATTGTACCTGAATCTTTCGGGCGAAGAACTTCACACTTGGATCATCTCTTTTCAGATACTGCATAATTTATCTACACAGTTGGAAATAATATGACATATTCTTGGAGGAGGTCATTTGGCTAGGCAAATAGTCTGATTGTTAATTTGGACTGCTTTTGTCTTTCTGATGCTTATCTTATCTTTTTCACTGAGCCTGTAGCAAGAGTGTGCTATTCGCTATCTTAAGTCTGCACAATGTTGCTTTCTCTGCTCACTAGTGAAGAAGAAGTTGATTACTTTGCTTTCCTTTTTTTTTTCCTAACAATTTGGTTTTGCATCATTTTTGCAGCTTGGTTTCATTTGTATGATAGTGGTACCCTACACATTTTATCTGCAGATAAGAGTACAGAAACTTCAGGTCTGTTGAATATTGTGCTTAGTTATATGCTTTCTAAAGTAGTTTGATTAGTCAAATAACAGTTTTCTAATTGGAGCAAGTCTCTCTTGCAGGAGGAGAGCAATGAGCTGCGTATATTATGCAGTGATAGACTTGAGGATAGTGAAAGTTCAAAGATTTTGCTGCACGAGGATAGGGCATTGGTGTCTGATTGGTCCAACACTGAAAGCAGAACTGTAGCTCTATATACTGTGGTTGTTACCCTTCTCATGCCATTTGTTTTATATAAATATCTTGACTATCTTCCCAAGTTTAAGACTCTTTCAAAGGGGATGAAGAATAGCCAGGAAGAGGTTCCCCTGAACAAGAGAATTGCCTACATGGTGGACGTTTGCTTCTCTGTTTATCCATACGCAAAGCTCCTAGCACTTCTTTTCGCAACTATATTTCTTATAGCATTTGGCGGGTTGGCATTGTATGCGGTCAGTGATGGTAGTTTTGCAGAGGCCCTTTGGCTCTCATGGACTTTTGTTGCTGATTCTGGTAATCATGCTGATAGAGTTGGCACAGGGCCAAGGATAGTTTCTGTCTCCATCAGTTCAGGTGGCATGCTTATATTCGCAATGATGCTTGGACTTGTTTCTGATGCTATCTCTGAAAAGGTGGATTCCCTGCGCAAAGGGAAGAGCGAAGTGATAGAAAGAAATCACATACTAATTTTGGGGTGGAGTGACAAATTGGTTAGTACTCGCTGTATATTTACTTTCAAGAACTTAGCCCTGCTGCTCTTTTTTTCTGTGCTTGTCAGCGATTTTACAGCGTCCAGTAAATGATATTCTTAAACCTTTGCGATACTGATTTGATCAATTTTACTCACGAAGTTGCATGATCAGCATTATAATGCATATAGAGTTCTTTATATGTCCTCTGTGTGAGCGAGTGTCTGCCGGGTTTCTATCTTGTCTTTATGCTTATTCCCTTCACACAAATGCGACTCCTTACTGCATTTGGTTCGCCCAATTGAGTCTTAAATGCCTGTGAGACACTCTTTTTGGGGATTTTCAGAATTGAGCGATATCTGTTTGTGGTCCTGATTTGGAGTTAAACGCCGAATTCTTAATATGAAACATATGCTAGATGACTGATAAACAGGGGATTTCAGGGATCACTGTTGAAGCAGCTAGCAATAGCTAATAAGAGTATAGGTGGTGGAGTCGTCGTTGTACTTGCAGAGAGGGACAAGGAAGAAATGGAGATGGACATTGCTAAGCTGGAGTTTGACTTAATGGGCACGTCCGTAATATGTAGAAGTGGAAGTCCTCTTATTTTGGCCGATCTAAAGAAGGTAAACTTAGGTTTTTCTATACTGTTGGAGTTGTCATGAATTGAGATTCCTAATTCTTATTGGTTCACTCTGTGATTGCATTATTTAGAGAGACGCCCCTCTCTTGTTTTGTCCCAGTCCTTAAATTTCTTTTTAATGGACTTCTCATTTGATTTCCTTTCTTGTTTCGAAGGTTTCAGTTTCAAAGGCACGTGCTATTATTGTCTTGGCATCTGATGAAAATGCAGATCAGGTTTTCTCCCTTCCAGCTTAGTAGTTTCTTGTGCTTGTCCATGACTTGAAGTGCCTCATATGAAGTTACTAATTGTTATTTTTCTTTTCGCTAGAGTGATGCACGTGCTCTAAGGGTTGTGCTAAGTCTTACGGGAGTAAAAGAAGGTTTGAGGGGTCATGTTGTTGTAGAGATGAGTGATCTTGACAATGAACCCCTAGTCAAGCTTGTTGGAGGAGACCTAATTGAGACAGTTGTTGCACATGATGTAATAGGCCGCTTGATGATACAATGTGCTCTTCAACCCGGTCTTGCGCAGGTTGCAAAGCGCTTCTCTTTTGCTCTTTTATGAAATGTGGTATTTGTTAAGCAGTGCAACAAATCTTTGCTATACCTTTGCCTTTCAAATTCTTTTTTGTGCTCTTTTCCCCTTATTTCTTTGTTAGACATTTCATACATGCTGGATGCAAGTGGATTAAATCGCTAGAGAAGCAAATTTTAACTTTGGGGTTTTTGAAATTTTCAACTT